TGGCTTTATACCCCACCCTTCACTACCCAAAGGAGTCTCAGAGCAGCTTACAATCTCCTTTTCCCTCCCCTCCCCACCCCACAACAGACACCCTGTGAGGTAGATGGGGCTCCTGAGAGAACAGCTCTGAGAGAACTGGTAACTGTCCCAAGGTCACACCAGCAGCTGCATGTGGAGGAGTGGGGAATCCAACCCATTTCTCCCAGATTATAGTCCGCACTCCTAACCACTACATCAAACGCTCTCCTTGAAGAGGCCTTAAGATCATAGCTGGAGAGATCTTTTCCCCCCCCTACTGACTCTTTTTTTCTTCTCAACTCCCCTGTTGAAACGTTTTGTACATCTTGAAAGCTCGCACACTCTGTCATTTTTTTTGCTTGGTCTCAAGGTATTACATGGCATTTGTTTTTACATTTTGCTGTGGACCAGTGCAGCGTCCCAGTGTCCCCATCTTCCGTGCAGAACGGGCACAACGCCCTTGGCTTTCTCTTTGACTGCCCTTCCCCATTTGCTCCTGATTTTTCAGTTTGATGCATGCTCATGTGTCCTTTTAGACCGCTGCTGGGTGCGGCCCTTCCTTCCTTGCCGTCTCCTTGACAAAACCTCTGGATCATTGCTCCAGTCATCTCTCACCTTGACGAGCGCAACCTCCTCTCTGGCCTTCTGCTGTTCCGCTGCTTCCACTTTGCCTTTGTCCAGCACTCTGCTCTCAGACTCTTTTCTCCCTGTTCATCACTCTGACCGCATGATGCAACTCCTTAAATCCTTGCACCGGCATCCTGTTGCTCCCAGCTCCAGCAAGTATGCATACACAAATGCGTCTTGTTCCTGTCTTCAGGACTCGTTACCATCCTTGCCTGTCCTCTGTTTCTCTGACCTCACATCCTAATTCCTCCCTGCCCGTGACCTTCACTCCTTCAGCCTTCCCCACCCTCAGCCATTCAAAGGTCTTCCGCTCTGTCAGAGAGCTCTGACCTTTCTCCCGTAACTGCCTGTGGTGCTTGGAATGGTCACTAAGAACATCTGCAAGACGCCCCGCTTTGCTCGCTTTCCCCAGATCCCTTCTCAGACGTCACTTTCCCCACGAATCTGTGGCATAACCTTCAGTCCTTCATCTCCGGCTGAAAAAAGGAGCCAAACTAGTTATGTTTGACATGAGTCGGGACACAGATGCCCATCGTACAGGTGCTGTCGTGCTGAAGAACTGGGCAGTTTACCTTAAAATGGTTCCGTTGGGCCATGAGGGTGGAGGAGGGACTTTCGGCTTCTCGCCCGTGCCGTTTTCAGCTATGGAAACCGCTTCAGGGGAGTCAGAGAAAGGAGCAAACAGGGCTCCCTCCAACAGCTGTTTCTGCTGGTGAAAAGGATGCGGAAAGCCGGACGTTCCTCCCCTCCCCCCTTACAGCTCTCCACAGCCCAGTGGAGGGATATCAAGGTAATGTGCACAGTTCTTTGGTGTGACTGTGAGTCGGGATGGGTCCCAATGTCCCAACTTATAACACACGTCTAGCTTGACTCTAAGCTTCAGAACGCGTCATTGCATTGTGTCGTCTTCCCCCGTTTAGCCTTCCCTCCACCTCCGTTTGTTGTCCTCCCTTGTGCCGAATTTTAAACTGTAAGCTCCTCAGGGGCAGGGGACTGTGTGTTTGTATTCTGTAAAGCACAATGCAGCTGAATGGGTACAAAGTAGAGAATAAGGTCAAGGGAACTTTCCCCCCACTTGTGATCTTTCCTTTTTATGATCTTTAGAGGGAGGGTCAGAGCAATACTGTTGAATTCTTCCGAATGTCAGTTGTGGCATAAGAGCAGCTGTGTTGGATCAGACCAAAAGTCCATCCTCATAATCCATCCTGTTTCTCACAATGGCTAAGCAGCCCCCCCCCCCAATCCTATAAGCAGGAGACGAAGCCCAAGACTTCTCGCTGTCGTTACTCCTCTCGTCATTAGCATTCAAAGCATTTCAGAGGATCAGTACCTCAGCCTGCATACCCTTGCATGGAGCGGCAGGCTGTGCCCACCTCACCACACGCAAGGACCTCTGCACCTGTAGAACTTCTGGCAGGCTCTGGGCTTGGGAGCCATAGCAGGCAGAGCAGGTTTAGAGGTTGACAGGGAGGGATTTTATTTTAGAAACACCTGGGTCTTCTTCCTGTGATATGATCAAGACAGTGTGTGCTGCTTCCTCCTTATCCTCTTGGAAAGTCTGTGCTCCTATCGTCCCCAGTATGACAAAGGTGAATCATCCACGGGCTCCCAAACTTGCCTACCCAAATCATTGCAAATCATTGCAACTGAGTTGTGGCACATTAACCGCCTGGAGAAGAAGGCTGAACCAAAGAATGGCCCTGCTGAGTGTTGGGTTTTGATAGTGAGATATTGAAAAATGGTATTTAGCAGAGATAAGATAGCTTAGCAGAGCTAGAGTAAAATAATTCAGACTCAGAGTCCATGTGTGATTAAAATAGAAAGTTTTTACTAATCTAGCATAGGGAAGGGTTACTGGGATGAAAATAACAACAGAGCTAAATCGGCTACATCCTTACTCTACAAAGACAAAACTAGAAGAGCATTATGGCTTCTCTCTCCTCTTCTTGAGAACAGCAAACAAAGATGGGAAGAGGAGCCATAAAATGCAAAAACACTTTGACACTTTCGTTCCAATCAAACTCCTAGATCAGGGAGAAAATTTCCTGGGCTTGTACTCCTAAAAACAACATTGGTTACATGAAAAGCATGTGACTTCCTGTGAGCAACACAAACAAACATTTAACCCCAGATGTACTGAGTGCTTTCAACTTGTAATACCCAACACTGAGTCATACCAAAGGTTAATTTGGTCATAAAACATAAGAGAAGCCAGTGTTGGATCAGGCCAATGGCCCATCCAGTCCAGCCCTCTGTGTCACACAGTGGCCAAAAACACCAGGGGCCATCAGGAGGTCCACCAGTGGGGCCAGGACACTAGAAGCCCTCCCACTGTTGCCCCCGCCCCAGGACCAAGAAGACAGAGCATCCCTTGCCCCAGACTGAGAGTTCCTATCTAGACCTTGTGGCTCATAGCCACTGATGGACCTCTGCTCCATATGCTTATCTAATTCCCTCTTGAATCCATCCATGCTTGTAGCCGCCGCCACCTCCTGTGGCAGTGAATTCCATGTGTGAATCACTCTTTGGGTGAAGAAGTCCACTGTCCTCTTTCCCGCAGTGGCCATCAAGGTGCCCCAGGAAGCAAACAGAGCAGGAAGGCCACAGTCCCACCCCAAACATACCTGTTGTCTCTCAGCATCTAGCAGTCAGAGTTCTGCCTCTGAATATAAAGTTTCCATTTAAGTCTGAATGGCTTAACAGTCATAGGTAGGCCTCCCCTGCTCTATGAATGTGTCTCGCCTGCTGCCGCCAAGTTCTAGAACTGTGTGAGGGAGAAAATGTTCTCTTTCTCCTCAGGGCTGAATGTCTGTGCACCGGGCATAATTTTACTGACGCTCTCTGCTTCCTTGCCCGATCACCTGGAGGCGATTCTTACTCAGTGCAAGCGAGCAGCGAGCGTTTTTTTCTTTTCTTTTCCTGGTGCCAGGATAGCAACTTGCAGCCTAGGGCAAGTGTGATAAATCAGGATAAGCCGCCACTTTCAAACGACAAACGAAGGCTTTTAAATAAAGGGCTTTCTAGAGGCGCCCCAAGATGCTTCCAGTAGGACCTAATATATTTGAATCTGAACCAAGCTGGTGTGATCAACCTTTGGTCTTTAAACATCTGGAGGACAGCTGCACAGTAATGGAGCCACTAAACTGAGCACTCCAGGGTGGTGTTAGAGAATACATGGCGGGAATATAAGGATACATGCTGAGCATAAGGCACAGGAGCCCTTGAACCTCCCACATTAGAGGTATAGGCCTAGCAACCTTTTTGAGCCTGCGGGCAGAATCACAAAACGGCTGTTTCAGGAGGTGGAGCCAACTGCAAAATGTCGGGAGCAGAATTATGCATAACTGTCATAGTATGTCTTTAGAAAGTGGGTGGGACCCAGCAGAATGTCTGCTTAAGAAGAAGAGGAGATTGAATTTAGACCCCACCCTTCAGTACCCGAAGGAGTCTCAGAGCGGCTTACAATCTCCTTTCCTTTCCCTTCCCCACAACAGACACCCTGTGAGGTAGGTGGGGCTGAGAGAGCTCTTTCGAGGACTGCTCTTGGGAGAACAGCTCTGAGACAACTTGTGACTGACCCAAGGCCACACCAGCAGCTGCATGTGGAGGAGTGGGGGATCAAACCCGGGTCTACCAGATTAGAGTCCGCCACTCTTAACCACTACACCAAATTTGCCCTCTTGACACTTGGTGGGTGCTGTTCATAGGGACCTGTGGCCTTCATGTATCGTCAGCTGAGGGCCTTGATGCAAAACTGTGGCAGAGGGAATCTGGTTTCACTTTCTTATGGGCCTGCTGGGGGGGGGGGGGCATGCAGACAGACCCTGCATCTCTACTTTTTGAGATGTACGTTGTGAAAAGAGTATTAGCGGTCAAACTAAGTGGGCCAAGTGGATTCTTCTGTTTGCTGGCAGTTAACACTAGGGCAGTAGTGAAATCCATCCCGACTGGGCCTACCTATAAATCCCCATGCAGGAAGGTGAGCCTTCTGTTCCGTTTGTTTTTACTTGACAAGATTTATATCACGCTTTTCCGTCCACACGTTCAAAGCAGCTAACAAAAGTGCTGTCGGTCACATTGTCTCAGTTCAGAGTTGTGGCCGTGCAAAGGGAGGATCATTTAGGAGGCCGTTTTCAGCCAGCTGGATTTTGGCCACTCATTTCGCTGCAGATGGTTGAAGGACTTTGAGAAGCAGCTGCAGTGGTGGTGGGGGGAAATGGCTTTCTGGGTCCCTCCTGCTGCTGAGAAACGGTGGCACCTTGATCCTTTTGGAACGCCCTTTGTGGGTCTTTGGTACGGGTGGCTAAGTGCTTGCCTTTCCCCTGACATTCCCCCCCTCCCTGCTCCTTCACCAGGCTCGCTTCCAGCACAGGAGAAGCCCTCGCAGAGGCCAACAGAGACTACCAGCTGCAGCCCTTCCAGAAAGAGGTCTTCATCAGAAAGCACATCCTCTACAGGCAAATAATTTCTCCTCCTTTTCGTAAACACCGTACTTAAGTGTTTCTCTGCTCACAGGCCTTCGCGCAAGTTTTAAGGACTGGCAGCTAGGCAGCCTGCAGGCAGGAACTGGGCCTGGGTCCGGTCTTCCTGCTACCACCTTCCCTTTAAAGGGCATTAGGTAAAGGTTTCCCTTGCTCGAAAGCCAGTCGAATCCGACTCTAGGGTTGCAGTGCTCATCTCCGTTTCCAAGCCAAAGAGCCAGCGCTGTCCGAAGACGTCTCTGTGGTCATGTGACTAGACGCCGAGGCGCACAGAACGCTGTTACCTTCCCACCAAAGCGGTACCTATTTATCTCCTTGCACTTTCTTGCTTTCAAACTGCTCGGTTGGCAGTATCAGAGGGCATTACCTGCAGCAATTTCCAGCTGTCTTCCGTGCCTGCTCGGGCTCCGGAACTGTTAAAGTTGGGAGGATGGGGAAGAAGGAATGGGTGGGGTGGGATCACCCTTTGTGGTTTCCAGGCAAAGCCTCCTCGTTGCTTCCGGATGAGCAGGCCAAACAGGTTTGCCCAGCCATGGGGGCTTGGCCCTGACCTTGGTACTTGGATTGGGAGACCACCCATCCTAGGGCTGCTGCCCAGGGGCAAGCAATGACAAACGGCCTCTGTGCGTCTCTTCCCTTGAGAACCCTACCCGGGTCGTCATAAGTAGGCTGTGATTTGACAGCACTTTCCAGCAGAGGGCCTTGATGGACCCACCATCGGGCATGGCTGCCACCTAAGACTGGGAAGTGGCCTGGAAATAACTTAGTCTCACACAACCACATGCAGGACGCCTCTGGCTACGTCTGAGGCACAGGGCAGTCTTTCCAAGACCTTGTGACCCAGAACCCTACTGACTTGTATTTCCTCGTCCCCCCCTTTCTTAAGAACATAAGAAAAGCCAACATTGGATCAGGCCAATGGCTCATCTAGTCCAACACTGTCACACAGTGGCCAAAAATACCAGGTGCCATCTGGAGGTCCAGCAGTGGGGCCAGGGCACTAGAAGCCCTCCCACTGTTGGCCCCCCCAGCACCAAGAATACAGAGCATCCCTTGCCCCAGAGAGTTCCTATCTATACCTTGTGGCCAACAGCCACTAATGGACCTCTGCTCCATATGCTTATCCAGTTCCCTCTTGAAGCTGTGCATGCTTGTAGCCGCCGCCACCTCCTGTGGCAGTGAATTGCACGTGTGAATCACTCTCGCTTCCAGCTCCGTGCCCCGCCCTGAAACAAAGACGGAAGTGGAAAGCGAACATCCCCTCCTCCCCGAAGCACCCCTCTCTGCAATGCCATCACGTTGCTGGTGCAACCCGGCCTGCAGCTGGCCGCTGGCGGGGAGAAGGGAAGCCTCAGCCGGGAAGAGGTAGCAGCAGGTGGCTTTCGAGCCCTCAGCCGCACGCAGGGTGGAGGAAGAGAGCAGCGTTGTTGTTTGGGGCGGGCGTTGGGACTGGAGTGCTGCAGCAAAGCAGCATGAGCGGGGGGGGGGGGGGCGCGGAAGCTGCCGGGCGTCCTCCCCATGAAAACCCTTCCCAGGCACGTTGTGTTACAGAAGGTCGTCTTTGTTAACCAAATGCTCCCCCCACCACCACCAAGTCGTGCCTGGCCAGCCGCTGGCCCGCTGCAGCTGTCCAGAGGGCTCAGGCACTCGAGTTGCCTGATCCTCTTGGATCTGTTCCAAAAGGGGGGGGAGCGCCAGCTTGAGGACGGACCATCCCGATGTTGCATCTCCCCCCCCAACCCTCCCCTGTATTGTGTAGCTGAATTATCACCGGTTAGTGCAGCTGTTAAAGAAGCTCCATTTCCTCAACAGATGGCAAGCCCATGAGGAATCTTTGAGGATTCCCCCCTCCTCAGTGTGCAGAGAAAGGATGGCTGTACACGATCTTTTTTAAAAAAGGAAACCCAAAAGCATTGTTTCAAAAAAAGCAAAGTTAAAACAGTTGAACCTGCTTATCCGTGTATTGTTGTCTTCCCCCCCCCCCCTGCAGTGGTCGGGATCCCCGCACGGAGTACGAGGCTCGGAAGCACCATGGAAGATTCCGTGGATAATCTATTACAGCACATGGCCCAGCACGAAAGTCAGGCTGCGCTGGACAAAACCCTAGAGGCCGTCATGGCCAACACGCCCGCTCCCCCTTCCAGGAGCCCCAGCCGAAGCCCCAGCAGGGAAAAGAGCGGCGGGCTCTCAGGCCCGGGCACCCTGGGGGACTCGGCCCGCGAAGGCCACCCCCTCCTCTCCGACCGCTTGTCGGGCGGCTACTCCCCCTATCACCTCAAGAGGAGCATGGTGGAGGCCATGCAGCGCCAGGCGAGGAAGATGTGCGATTACGACAAGATCCTGGCCACCAAGAAGAACCTGGACCACGTGAACAAGATCCTCAAAGCCAAGAAGCTCCAGCGGCAGTCGCGGACCGGCAACAACTTTGTGAAGCGCCGGCCGGGCAGGCCCAGGAAGTACCCCTTGCAGTCGGTGGTCTCGGTGCACTCCCTGCAAGTGAGCCGGTTTGCCGGCCCGGACCTCGACAGCGGGGAGAAAGGCTGCCCGCTGCACCGCGGCCCCGACACCGTGACGGATGCCATCGAGTCGGTGGTTCAGGGGGTGAATGTGAAAGGGTGGAAGAGGAAGAGGTGGCTGGAGGAGGAGGAGCAAGCCCGGAAGAGGCAGAAGCCTTTGCCGGAAGAAGAGCAGGAGAGCGACAAGAGGTAATTCCTTTGTTTTGTTTTGGGATGCTGCCAGGCTCCAGCTGCTAAGAAAGTAACAGAAACTCTGTGCGGGAGAAAAACCGAGTTTCTAGCCCTCGTAGTTGTGTTAAAACAAAATGGCAGCACCAACTTTTGGGCCAACAGTGGTCAAAGTGGGACTGTCCAAGTCAGTGTTCCCTCTAAGCTGAGTGAGTGTGAGCCAGCTCACAGTTTTTTAGCCTCCGGCTCACACACATTTTTGTCTCAGCTCAGGAAGGATGGCTCCAAAGCAAACTAATTGATGCAGCGGTCAAATTGCTCACTCGCAACTTTAGTGCCCATAGGTCACAAAGTAGAATTTTTGCTCACAAGACTCCACAGCTCAGAGGGAGCAATTGGGCCCAGTGTCTTCCGAGGTTTCCTATTGACGGTTTCCCTTCCGTGGAGCCCAGTAAGTTCGACATAGGCCTTGCTGGGCACAACATCCAGTCTTCCCCCCTTTTCTGCTATTGAAGGAAGCCATGTTGAAGGAAGAAATTGCATTCATCGGATAGTGGCAGTATCCTCCGATGACCACACCGTGCTCCTTGCAGGCTCCACTGCCAGGGTCAGGTTGGCCTTTCTGGTGGCCGGGACGTCTCCTGCAGGGGGGGCAGTGGCCCTCCCCCACTTGGGCTAGGTCAGCCGAGTGGAAGAAGGGCCAGGACTGGCCTGCCCTAGTCCCACGTGGCCTGGCAGAAGAGGCAGTGCA